TAGTAGCTTCTTGCTCCTAGTAGCGATGCCAGGAGCCCCCTAATAGTAGCGATGCCAGGAGCCCCTAGTAGTTTCTTGCTCCTAGTAGCGATGCCAGGAGCCCCTAGTAGCTTCTTGCTCCTAGTTGCACGCGGCGTGGCCCAATGGGGTCGGGGAGAGGGTTGTGGGGGGAATCGATGACGCCGAGTTCGGCGGCCCAGATGGGAGGCAGGGTCCCCCTTGGAAGACTGTGGAGGTCCCAAGAGAGATATACGCGACGTCAATTCAATATAGTTATACCACATGATGTCAATTTAAGACAAGACACTTTTTTGGGTGTGTGTGAGTGTGTGTGTGTGTGTAACCCTTGTAGTCACAGGGCTTCTTTTGAAGTTTGATGGATGACACTCACAAATCTTGAAGTGTACCATGTTGTTGCAGTTGAAAGGAATGATACGCACAAATCTTGAAGTGTACCATGTTGTTGCAGTTGAAAGGAATGACACACACAAATCTTGCAGTGTACCACGTTGTTGCAGTTGAAAGGAATGACACACACAAATCTTGATGTTTTTCATAATGTTGCAGTGCAACCTTTGGAGTCACAATCCGTTTTCGGTTTTGTTTTGTGTGTTTTTTTTCCGCTGCCTTGTGTCTTATGGGCCCTCTAACCTATTGCGCAGGCCTCCAACCTTGTCGCTATGGCCTCTTTCTATTTGTGGTACCTTTCTAGTAGTTGGCTTGCCGGTTGCCCTTAGGGCCGGCGCATCCACTCTGCTTGGCTGGATGCTTTCCTATCCAGTCAGCAGAGTTGGGGGTGGCTACAACAGAGCTAGCTTGCCTTTTTTTGGTGGCGTGGACACGGCCATTCGCAATTGGAAGCTGGGGTGAGCTTCTATCACCACCTGACTCTGACCATTCGATCCATGCTGAAACAGGCTGTTACCATCGATAATGCTCAGATTTTTCCTGGCAATCTTGTTGCTACCGAGACCAAGTATGCCGGCCGAGCGTTGCCTAAAGGCATTGTTGCTGGTGTTTCTGTTTACATGACGGACGAGGAGAGATTGAGAATGATACACTTGTTCAACATTGGAGCTGCACGCGCCTTGTCCACGTGGGACATTGCGCTTCCGGTGGTGCCTAATTAGGTTCTGCATCTTTTAGATCCTTTTCACCCGCTATGCTCCAGAGTGGGCGTAGCAGCGACTCGTGGACCGATCGCGATGGTGTGCCAGGAGCCCCTAATAGTTTCTTGCTCCTAGTAGCGATGCCAGGAGCCCCTAGTAGCTTCTTGTTACTAGTAGTACTAGTACTAAGTCACCCGGAAGATGCCTTGGGGGTTTTGGGGTTTATCTTTTGTGCATAGATCAGCGTGTCTAGCACAAGTCGGACACCGTTTCACGGTGAGCGTCCGATGCGAGCGATAGCTACTAGTAGTAAGGCCAGGAACGCCCCGTTCCGAACGCGTCCTTGCTCCCAGTGATGCCATGGGCCTGGATCTTCCAAACTACAGAACATTTATGCCAGCCTTGGCGGGTTTTTGAGATGAAGTTCACATCCAAAAGGAGACTCCCTGGCCCTGGCTGGGCAGACTGGCAGAGTCGATTTCCCGTCTTCCAGGGTCGAACTAGGAGGTCCCCAATTTCAATACAAACCCGGATTCTGAACGGATCTTCCTTTTGGGCAATGAAGTCCCAAGGGGTGGCCTAGCATAGGGCCTATCACAAGGCCTAGGCTAGGCCATAGGCCTAGGTTATCATTATAGGCCTATCACTATCATAGGCCCTGGCTAGGGGTTCCATAGGCCTATGATCGGCCCTAGGACCCGCTAGGCAATATAGGGCCTACCAGACTGTGCTGGTTTGGCGGTGATGCTCGGGTTACGCGGTTCCCCCGAGGCATCCTCGGGGCAAAAACGATAAAAATCGAAAGTTTTCGATCCAAGTGATGTAGGCTTTCATTACCCTGCAAAAGTTAAAAGTCATTTTTTAAAAAAATGATCAAACAACTTTTTGTTTGCAGAGCTCTTCTAGCTTGCAACCTGTTCCCGAGGCATGCTCGCGGTAGAAACGGTAAAAATTGAACATTGTTATTTGTTGTGGTTCCCGTTTTTAATGGAGAGTCGCTCCTTTTTCTTCTACCATATCCGCGGTAAAAACGGTAAAAAAACACAATGTTTCTTGTTTTACCGATTTTACCGGGGGGCGCCCCTTTTTCTTCTACCATATCCGCGGTAAAAACGGTAAACATCGAAAAACATTTGTGTTTACCGTTATTTTTGCGCGGGCGCGAAAGGGTACCCCTTAGCAAAACAACGCTCGCGAACCGGCTTAGCCTATCATAGGCCCTAGGACCGCGCATCTAGAGACCTAGGCCTACTGCATAGGGGCCTACCCCAGGTCAAGCATACCCCTATCACGGGACTTTTGTGTGCTTTTCTAAGAAACCTCTACGAATCTACTGTAGATCGAAAGTAGGCAGGTGTGTTCTATTGCCAGCGCACACTGCCACAAAATATCTTGCACACAATCGTCACAGGGCGTGCACCAAGAAGGCTCTCAAAAACACGGGCAGTAAAAGTGTGAAATCACGAAAAAATGTCAACTCTTTCAACCACGAACTCATGACCGGTCTGCATACCGGGCATACCGTATCCTTCCACTCTCTCTTTGTCTCTCTCTCTCTCTCTCTCTCGGTATAATTGAAACTGCTCTTATTGTCTCCAGAGCAGCTTCTGCCGCTGCAAACACTGGGCTCTCCCACGTGCCGATGGATGCAACAGATCCCTGGGCTCAGCAGACGTTGTGCTGTGACAGGATCAGACGTCAATGCCACATGGAATTCTTTCAATGAGTTGATCCATGCGAGTGTTTGTGGTTGAAAGTCTGTGCCTCATTTGGCTTTGCAAAAAAGATTGAAGCTTTCCAGTAACTGGAAGCTTCTAGCTGGAGGCCATCTCTATTAGGTTGGAGGCCATCGCTACGGACGTAACAAAGCTACAAAATCCCTTTGGGTCCCACCCACAATCCCCCTCGAACAGCTCCGCTCCCTCAAGAGCACGCTCCGCGGCCTCCCCGTAGGTCACAGGGTCCGCCTCCTGCGTCAGTCTGAAAGTTTGCTGGCGTCCTTGTTACATTCGTAGCGATGCCCGTTGTTACTAGTAGCTTCTTAGTTACTAGTAAGGCCAGGAGCGCCCCGTTCCGAACGCGTCCTTGCTACTGTGGGCTGATGAGCAGATCCCATAGGGTGACATGAGCGGATCTTTCAGGTAGTAGCTCCTGGCATTACTAGTAACAAGAAGCTACTAGGGGCTCCTGGCCTTACTACTAGGAGCAATGTTCGCTACTAGTAACAAAGGGCATCGCTACGAACGTCACAAAGGGCATTACTACTACGAGCAAGGACGCTACGCAGGGTACCTCCGATGGCCGATGCCTGGATCTCAGCTTCTCCGATGCCTCGCTCCTGTGCTTCACCCTCTTCTGGCTCCATTGCCATGGCCAAACGGTCCAACGAGGCAGTGCCAGGCACCTGTTGTCCGAAGACTCCAATTCGGTCCTGCTTTGCCCTGTAACCGTTGCTCTGTGTGTGGTTGATGTGGTTGTGCTAAAGCTGAGGGAATCGTCGATCTTCGCCTCCAGGGTGCGGTTAAAGCCCCTCACGGAACGGGCGGGTTCTGAACCGTTCTCCGTCTTGAACTGTGCTTCAGAACGTTCCATGGAGATGTTCTGTATATCCATAACTTCATGGTATATCCATGGAGATGTTCTGTTTTTGTCGTTGTCCATCCACAAGCATTTCGCAAGAGGCATCCTATCTGTGAAGCGGGGCTGTGGTGTGGTGTGTCTCTCTATCCTTGTCTCTTTTTCATGCGTCAGCCTCTGTCGGCAGAGGCAGGAACAGCTGGAGCCCGAAAGGAAAACCGGCGACATTCGCATGGCCTTAGAAATGACCAAAGACCCCCTTGTTCCCAAGATTCCTCCACAATCCATGCGGTTCTTTGGGTTCCTTTTGCTATTAGGTTGTGTTTTCCATCGCGTCTGTAGGTTCGGGAAACCGGACCTGAGCGGCAGAAACCCCAACCCAAAACGGTGGAGAGAAGCAACCTATCTGAATCCACATCAACAGATCTAGGAATCCAGGAGTTGGCACCATCTAATCCCCCCCAAATCGATGTTCTATCCAACAGTATCTCAACCTCGTTGGATCTGGGCAAACAAAGACATCACTCAAGGCAAGCGTATTCCACGCCTAAGATGAGTTGAAGAATATGTTCTTCCAGGCGGCGTCCAAATGTGTCCCTATTTACTTTGGGGAAGTGCATGTTGCTTCCAGCATTCAAGTTGAGCAAATTCGTCTTGTGACACTTTAAACTTACACTGAAGACATGATAGCTAGAGCAAGAAGTTTTTTGCAAACAGCAGTGATAGGGCAATCAAACCAGCCGAACCATCACCTCATCATATTCAATGGTGTTGCTTTAGAGTGCAGGCCAGGTCCACTCGTTGAATTACATGTTTTGAGTTTTGAAGCGTTGCAATGAGGAAAGCATTCGAACCCTGTCCGGATACTCAGCACGGGCGGAACCCCGCACTTCGTCGATGGATTAGTACCGATGCACTTGCCTACTAGTAGCTTCTTGTTACTACTAGCGATGCCCCTGTTACTGGTGGCGATGCACTTGCTAGTAGAGAGGCAACGGGTTGAGGTTGACCAGTGACGATTCTCTCGTCAACCCAAAACAAATCAACTCAACAAGTGAAACACCCTGCGCAGTTGAGCCGGGTCTCCTGGGTAATGCCGCAGTCCTCGCAATCGAAGCGTGGTGACATTTCCTGAGCAAGTCGAGCAACTTGGAACCCGGCTGAGGACAGGCCAAGTTGATGAGAATAGCAGACACATCTTGTGGAAGCATTTTCTTTCTGTCCGTGAGTCCCGGAGCAACATCCACCCCAAAAAACTTGCCAAGAGGGGAAAAGAACTCGTAGCTCTGCCCGGCTCTGCCCTTTTGTGTCTTCGAACAGAATCATGAGCTGGTTTGGTCCGCATGTTCTGTCCCAAAAGGCTAAAAGGTCACTTCCTTTAGTTCCTGAAAGCTGCTAGATCTGCTAGGTAAGTTCCTTTATGGACTGAAACCTCCTTGTTCTCATCTCATAGAAAGCATCACGTAAGCCGCCTATGGCCCAGTTCGCTCTTCGATCAGTTCGAAACAGGTCAATGGTCAGTTCGGTCCCAGAAACCGTCCTGTTTTTGGACCAAAAACCTGTTTCAAATGAATTCAGCTCTGTTGGGTTGTCGCACACGTCTGGCGAAACACCATATCCAGTGGCAGTCCACACTGCCGGCGTGTGCCCAAAGTGGGAGGGGGGAACATTCAGGAAGGGTACTGTGGAGCTTTAACCTGCTGGTCGTGCACAATTGAAAACCGAAAAAATGATCTTGCCGGGTGGTCTGGGTGTTCCGGAACGCACACCTCGAGCACGGACCAAACGGATGGTCTGAGCCGATATGCTTGGTGGGATAGGCTTGGTGTCAGTTCATCCCAAAGCACACTGGAAGGACTTTCTGACGTTGAGAATGGCCCGACAAATTCAATTTGCAAGGCACTGCGGCCCACAAGAGAAAAAGCGAAGGCGGCAGTCAATCTGGAGAAGCAAGTCAACAGGCCTCTACTGCTTTCCAACCATGTGGGATGTGCCCGATGTGCTACGTGCCGATACATACGCCCAGCCACATGGGTGCAAGCATGACACCACCACAACAATCAGCGTGACAACGTGTCAGCAGTGTGACCCGTGTGCGTGTCAGCATGATAGTATGTCAGCATGACAGCCTCAGAACATGTCAGTGTGACACCATGGCAGCATATCGACGCGACAACCCCTTGTCAGCATGACAACATGTTACAGCAAACGCAGCACGTCAGCATGACAGCGTGTTTACAAGCTAGCATGGCACAGGGACCACATGTTACAGTGCAAGGTAGCCTGGTGGCATGGCAGCATTTCAGACATGACAATGTCGGCATGACATGAAATCGTGTCAGCATAACAGCATGTAAGACCTCTGCAAAGCTGCTCCAGCACCTCCTGCGGAACCTGCGGAACCCCGGACCGTCTTCGTGAACCTGCTCTGGAACCTGGCAGATGAAAAGGGTTATTTCACCTTATGCAAGAGTCTTTTAGCAAAAGCGTCTTTGCATTAAACAGAAATATCCGCTCAACGTGCGTCTTGAAGCAAAGTTGTCGTCTTTGCCAGGGACTACATGTTTAATTCCCTATGAGCCCATTCCCTTCCACCAAAGCCAAGATCTTTACCTGAAAATCAAAAAGTGTATCCGCCTGAAAAAAAAAAAAAAAAAAGTCTGTTGATTCCTTGATGTTTCGTTCTTGAATACTTGAACTTGATTCCGAGCTATAATTCACATTAATTCACATTAATTCACCATTGAGTACACACCCGTGTCCTAAAGCGTCTTGTACCATACCCTCTAGCACCTCACGATGTGGAAGGGCTTTTTTGAGGGGCCAACGCTCGGATCGCGCAGGCGACGCAACCAGTTTGGTTTGCTCCAAAAAAAGGAACCGGTGGTTCAGAAAGCAACGTCTGGGTGGAGGCCATTCCTGGACTTCCAGATGGATCCGAGCCGACGCCTGCCGTCCGAGAGGCCGTTCTTGGGTCGAAGCATCGGAGCATCGAGCCGTCGTTCCTGAGAACAGAACAGGTCAGTCGACCTGTTGGACCTCGTTGACTCGTTGACTGTTGAACAGAGGGAGTTTGGACCTCAAAGCACGCTTCTGCATTCGCTGTTCGCGCCTGTAGGCGCCTACTTTTAGTAGTCTTTGCGTTCGCTGTTCGCTCCTAGCTAGCACGAAGCGCTCGCACTAATGATTGGGTTCCTAGATGTTTTAGGGAAACTAAAAAGAGACAGATTATTGAATTAAATCCACATGTCCGTGATCATCTCCACCGTTCAAGTAGCTTCAGTTGGAGGTGGAATTATTATCGACTGACTACACACTCTGCTCATGCTCGCACAAATGGACTTCCAGGAAGATTGCTTTCCTCTACCAGTCAGGCTCTTTTACTTAGGGTTGAAAACGTCAAGTTCTACAGGTGAACCGCCGCCGACTGGCCAGTCCCACCTCCTCCTTCTCCTCTTCATCCGCAGTGCTTGTGGCTTTGAACATGCTGCTCTTGGAGATGCTTCGCAAACTGCGGCAATGCACCAATGGACCCGATGGGAAGCGCTCCACCATTCAGTCACCACCGGGAACCAGGTGGTGTTGTTTTCGGAGCTTAGTTCGGTGACATGGCTTGACATCACTTGGACATGACATGGGGGAGTCGTCTTCGCGTCAGGTTCGAGACCGCTCTCTGCGACTCTCTGCGACTCTGCGACTCTCTGCGGTTCGAGATTGATCAGAAATAGGCCCGGCCTATCCATCAAGAGCTTCGTTCCATCGGGATGTGAGTACAAAATACCTCAGATCCACTGAAGTGGAGTCGAGATCCCCCTAATCCTCCCACCACTACGAGAACGGGTGCAAGATCCATCAAGATCCTATCTCAACATATGCACAGAAGCACTTCTACCCACAAGAACTTACACTTGCGAACAACTAAGACTTCGTCACTTGCTCGCGCTGCTTCGTCACCTTTGACATCGCTTTTGGGGCCCCGAAAAAAGCCTCGCTAGGTGCCACCAACAGTATTTTGACAGGCCCAAAGCTCCAAAATAGACCACGTCAAGATCTCATAATTGCGGCTTTCCCCAAAATCACTTGGGCTCCATCACATCGGCTCCAACATGAAATGAAAGCCATGCTCGGAAGAAGCCCATCGGAACCTCTCCCAAACGACCTCTCGGATCCTACGGACGTGGCCGCCATGGCCTCAGTCTCTCCGCCGGTCGGCAGTCGAACTAGAGTTGAGGTGCCTAACAAATGTTCCTCTAAGCTCCCAAGAGTGCTTACATCCACAGATCAAGAGTGACCAACACCATCCAATGCCCAACCCTGCTCCAATCACACGCCCAACCAAGTGACCAACCCAACGTCACCCAACCATATCAATGCTTCTCCAAGCGACCATTGCCACCCAAGCGACCCTCCACGCGGAGAGCCTTGCATCGCAAGAGGACGGTCGGAAAGTGCCCAGTGCCCGGTGGTTGCGAAGCAACGGCTGGAACGGTCAACGGTCAACGGTCATGCGGACGAAGTTTGGGTGAAGTTTGGGTCACCTGCGGACAGGTGAAGTATCGGTCACAGGAAAAAGGAGAGAGAAAGATGTTCTTTTTGGTGAAAGCATTCGACATGCGACGCATCAGGTGGGATGCCAGCGAGCAAACATGTTGATGCATGTCGTATGTCAGTGCTCCAAAAGAAGGAGATCAGTGGAGGGGTTGCATTCCCTCATGGAAGACATCTTGCTCCTCAACCATATGCCATAGGAATAGAGTGTTTTTCGCTGGCCATCCCAAATATTCTGTCCAATTGGTGCCTGCGCGATGAAACGATCCAGAAAATCAAACGTTCAAAGTTCAAAGGATCCAGATCC